ACGCGACGCTGCTGCCCGTCTTGCTGTGCGCCGCCACTTGCCTACCGCTGAGCGTGCACACTTTAGTCAGTACAAGAGTGCTAAGACCTTGTACGACGCTGTAGTTGCACGCTACTCTTCCCCTGCCACTGCTGCACTTAGCCGCCTCATCCTACGGTACCTCTTCCCTGACCTCGCCGCTTTTCCCACAGTCGCTGACCTCATTACGCACCTGCGCACTAGTGACACTCGCTACCGCGCTGCCCTTCCTCCTGAGTTCTGCGCCAAGAACCCCCCCCCTATGTACATCACCCTCTACTACGTAGTCACCCGGCTCCCTGACACCCTTCGCCCGGTCAGGGACCACTTTCTCTCTGTTTGCCCCACCACCCTCACCGTTGACCTCCTCGAGGAGCGCCTCCTAGCAGCAGAGAAGAGCATAGTCGCTGTAGGAGCCTCTCGTGGTGACCCTCGTGCCCCTGTCTTTGAGGGGTGCTCCCCCTCTCCTCTCTTGCCCTCTGTTGCCTCTGCTGCTGCGGCCGACCTCGTTGGTCTTGAGTCGGTCGGTGCGGCGTCTGCCCCTAGCGGGAGACGCCGCACTGGCAAGGGCAAGGGGGGCAGGGGCGCTGGAGGAGCTAGCGGGGGCGGTGGAGGCGGCGGTGGAGGCGGCGGAGGGGGTGGGGGTGGCGGTGGGGGTGGTGGCGGGGGTGGGGGCGTCGGTGGCGGCAGTGGAGGCGGAGGCGGCGGCGGCGGTGGCGGTGGGAGCGGAGGTGGCGGAGGTGGCGGCGGTGGAGGAGGCGGCGGCGGAGGAGGTGGAGCTGGTCGGGGTGGCGCTGCGCAGAGGGTCGGCTCCGGTGGTGGTCAGCGCCAGCAGCAGCAGCAGCAGCAGCAGCAGCGCACTCGTGAGATCCCCCCCCCCTCAGCAGCTTCGTGAGTGGTACGCTGCACGCCAGCGGGGTGGGGGTACTGGTCCGTGCACCTACGTCCTACGCACCGGCGACCGCGCGGGTGAGCCGTGCGGGGGTGCGCACTCCACCCAGCGCTGCTTTGGCCGCCTGACGGACGCTTGGCGTCACCAGTTCCCTGAGGCCACTGAGATCCCTCTACCTTCGGATGAGTCCGTAGAGTCGAGTGGCCCGTACCCAGAGCTTGTTGGCTGCCTCATGTACCTGATGACCTGCACTCGACCTGACCTTGCATACCCTCTTAGCATTCTCGCACGCTATGTTGCTCCTGGGAGACACAGACCGGAGCACATGGCTGCAGCGAAGAGGGTGTTGCGCTACTTGTGCAGTACATCGGGCATGGGGCTTGTGCTTGGAGGGCAGAGTCCAGTGGTCCTCACTGGGCACGCAGACGCTTCTTGGGCTGACGACCAGGCTACGCAGCGGTCGTCACAGGGTTACACCTTCAGCCTTGGTTCCGGCTCTGTCTCGTGGCGGGCTACCCGCTCGTCTTCTGTTCTCGGCTCCAGTTGTGAGGCTGAGATCTACGCAGGGGCCATGGCTGCACAGGAGCTTCGCTGGCTCACCTACCTGCTGACTGACCTCGGAGAGCCGCCTCGTTCTCCTCCAGTGCTGTACGTAGACAACAAGGCCATGCTGGCCTTGTGTCGGGAGCAGAGACTGGAGCACAGAACGAAGCACATTGCTCTTCGCTACTTCCTTGCTCGTGAGCTACAGCAGCGTGGTCAGCTACGCCTTGCGTACGTGGCCTCTCAGGCCAACACTGCTGATATCTTTACCAAGGCACTTGCGCCTTGTGATCATCAGCGCTTCTGTACTCAGCTGGGTCTTGTGCCTACCTTGCCTCACTTGCTCACCCCTTGACCTTGTTTGTACTGTTACATATATATATACACCTGCTCTTGCTTGTTTAGCCATGTGAACTGGCCTTGTGGCCTTGAAATTGTGCTCGGAATGTGTGGTGACGTTGTGATCCACCCTGAGCTTGCTTTGCTTTGCTTGACTGGTCTTGTGACCCCTTGTCCTCCCCCACTTTGCCTATGGGGGTGTGTCAGATTTATATGACTTAGCTGCTGTAGGCTATAGTGGGGTATCACATATGGGGTACAGCTTTCTAGGGTTTGTACTTGTACCCAACTTTCCCTTAGTCTTTTCATTCCTCGTTCATTTTCACATCAGAATCCCAACCATTAGACCATTGGGATAAAAGGGCTTGTTAAGTAGCGGGTCAGTGCGCCCATAACCCCCAAGGACAATGAGCCTATAACCCTTCCCTAGGATCAATCGGGGATCACCAGTGGACCTCTGACATAACGGCCCCGCTAACAGATTTGCTGCGGAAGGGGGTCACTTTTACGTGGGGGGAGAAAGAACACGCTGCCTTCTCTACCCTGAAAAATGTTCTCTGTTCACCGCCCGTACTGCGCATCGCCGACCCACACCGCCCTTTCGAAGTGGTTACAGACGCAAGCGACATCGCCATTGGAGCCGTACTGCTACAGGACTTCGGCAACGGGTTACAGCCCATCGCATACGAATCGCGAAAATTGCATCCGCCTGAGAAGAATTATCCGATACACGATCGCGAAATGCTTGCGATCGTGCACGCGTTCAAAGTGTGGCACTGTTACTTGACTGGCGCCGACGTGACAGTACGGACAGATCACAAGTCACTACAGTACCTCCGCGCACAACCCCACCTCAACCCACGACAAATCCGCTAGCTCGATTACCTCGAGTCGAATTTTCACTACACGGTCACCTACAAAAAGAGGGCATCGAACATCGCCGACGCATTAACCCGACCCACAGCCCAAGTTCACGCCATACTACTCGCCCAGACCAGCCCACTGTTAACAGGCCTATTTAACCACGGTTACCAGACTGATTCATTTTTTACAGGCGGAAACTCGCAGCAGTTTGCAGCAACAAGAGGTGTCTATTACGTAAAAGCCGGCACCGACCGCATCTAGGTACCGGGCTACACAATTCTACGTGAATTACTGTTGCAGGAGGCACACGATGGAGTTACCTCAGGGCATTTCGGAGTAGAGAAAACACGGCAGCAGCTGCAGCGGTACTACTACTGTCCCGAAATGTTGACCGGCGTGCAACGACACGTGGCATCGTGTCCCACCTACCAGGTCATGAAATCATCACAGAAGCGGCCGGCAGGAAAATTGCAGCCGATACCACCCCTAGAGCGTGCTTGGCAGCAGGTGACGACGATGGACTTCGTCACGGGGTTACCGGCGGGTGCAAGTGGGAACGACGCGATCCTAGTCGTCGTCGATCGGTTGACGAAAATGGCACATTTCGCAGCCTGCAAGAAATGGATCACAGCCGAAGAAACGGCCCGCCTCTTCATCGCAACCATTGTTCGATTACACGGGATACCAGCGACGATAATCAGCAACCGCGATACGAAGTTTACCAGCAATTTCTGGCGGAACCTGTGGCAGCAGTTCGGCACGAGGCTGCAGTTCAGTTCTTCGTACCACCCCGAAACCGACGGACAAACAGAACGGACAAATCAGACCATGGAACAGTTAATCCGAGCCACGTGCAACGACCCCACCACCTGGGAACAGCAACTGCCACTAATCGAATTCGCGTACAACAACTCGCCATCCGCCACGACCCAATAGTCACCATTTTACCTGAACTACGGACAAGACCCTACAGTACCCATGACCCCAAATCCCGACAACCCGGTGCCACGAGCGCATCAATTCACAGAAGTCCTACAGGAAGCACGGACCAGGGCAGCAGACGCAATTACAAAAGCAAATGTTATCGCTAAGCGCAACGCCGACCGCCACCGCAGACCCGTCACTTACCAACCCGACGACGTAGTTCCACTCGACACCCAAAACCTCCGCCTGCCCATAACTCCGAAACTTCGCCCCCGATATTGCGAGCCATTCCGCATCAGCCACATGGTCACACCGGTCACCGCCCACCTCCTCCTCCCCGCTGACTGGTACGTCAGCCCCTCCTTCCACGTCAGCATGCTTCGCCCCTACATCCCATCCACCAGCCAACTGGCCCGACATCGCCCAACCTGCATGACCCGACCACCGACCGAGCCAGTCATCACGCCCGAAAAGATTATGAGCCACCGAGTTCGTGACCCACGAGGAGCCCGAAAGGTCGAATTTTCAATACGCTGGAAAGACCGCACGCCCACCGAGGACAACTGGGTTCCCCTGGACAAAATCGAAAACCACCCCGTCCTCAACGAGTACTTGCGCAGCAGAAATTTCCGGGATATACACGCGCTCTCGTAAGGGAGGCCTCCTTGAGGGGGGGGGGGGGGGGGGGGTAGTGTAAGGAAAATTCATTTTCCTTACTTCGCGTCCCTGCTCAGCGCGTACAACACTAACAGCACCCCACAATATTCCGTTACCACTCGCGACATTCGCCTCGACAACATTCCCGCCACTGTTCACGATGCGACCCAACCTCACGGTTCGGCTGGTAACCAGCGCTCCGGACCTCCGCCTCGACAGTTCCCCAAACCTCGGCACTAGGCCCGTCGCGCACCCCATTTTTCCACGTTACCGTTACCACCGTAGTTTCGCTATATATTCTTCGCTCATTCCTTCGCTCATTGTATTCTTGTCTCGATAGTGCAATCCTCGCTCGCTCACTCAATTGCACTCGTAACATACACCCAGTCAACTTCACAAGCAACCTTCACTGGCGGAATCTTCGCGATGACACGTCATTTCTCGAAGTTGCCATTGCCACGTCGTAAGGCCACGCACCCTTTGCTTTCTACCTCGAGAACATTGCTGCCACGTGGCGTATGCATTTCCCCCTCGCCCTTCCAACCTTCCCTTCCCCCTCGAGCTTATCCGCACTGAGGAGTTTCTCAAATTGGTCAAAATCTTCAGATTGATTTTTGTTCGTTGCTTGTTGCTTTGCTGCACGTCATTTCTCCATCCACGTCTCGCTGCTCCGCCTACGGACGCCTGCTGTTAGCTTGTTCCGGGCTCGTCGCAGCGCTCGCCAGGTGCGATCTCAGCCGTTGAAACAGATCTGAAGCTCAGAATGGCTCAAGCACTGAGCGGCTCAGCCTCCGTAGTTTCACAATTCGCTGTCCCCGCAGCTGACGTGTCGACCCATCTCCGTAAAGGACCAGTGGCTGCCACGTGGCACGCTACTGCAACAGATGGCGTTGCGGCCCGGGCTTCCGCTCTTCCAGCACTGCGTGCCCGACACGCGACCAGAGGAGCCTCGTTGAGAGTTCGCGCATCGACGCCAGTGGATTATGACTCCTCACAGGTACTTTCTGCGTCGAACGCGCTTGTAACGCCTGGATCACAGAAAGCGATGTCAAACAAAGTTTGTTTCGAGCGTCAAGACCATTATGAGCCGAACTGAGAACCGAACGAACGGAACGGACGATTGGAAACGATCCACCTTTCTCTTCCGCGTTTCTGGATTCCACAGAAACGATCGGAAACGATTTATCATTCCCCTCCATGTTGCTAAATGGCACTGACTACACTCAGCGACTTTTCGTCCCGCGTACCAGAGAGTTGAGCCAGAAGAGTTTCTTTCTGTATGACATGAAGAAAAATTATAGTCTACGCACTCAAGAGGCATCTTCTACCGCTTCGACAGGAATCTTCTACCGCTTCGACAGGCATCTTCTACCGCGGACAAAGGGGCTCATTTGATCCAATCCACAGCCTTCTCTGCTATTTCCCCGTCCGCTTGCTTCCGTAGGCTTCTGCATAAACCCCTCTCCCCACTCACCCCTTCTCCCCTCCCACTCTCCCTCCCCCCTTTTCCCATCCCTTCCATCTCCCTTGTTCTCCTCAGTCGGAGGACGAGGCTTTTGAATCCCCCTCCCCTGCCCCCCTCCTCCCTTTTCCCCCTTTCCCTCTAATTCTCTGCCTCTGTCCATCGAGCGCATTCTGAAGCAGGCGGCGGACGCGTACCAGTCGAAGAATGAGGCTTCTGAATTTCTCTTCCTTCCTTCCCCACCCATTCCCTCCATTCTCCTACACCAGGATGCGACCGAGACGGAGGAGGAGGGAGCGGAGTCCGCGCCGCACTCCATCGAGCGCATCTTGAAGCAGGCGGTGGACGCGTATCAGTCGGAGGACGTGGCTTCTGAATCTCACTTTCCCCAACCCCCATCTCCCCACTCCCCCGCTCGACCTCCTAACTCCTGTCTCAGGATGCGACCGAGACGGAGGAGGAAGGAGCGGAGTCCTCTTCGCACTCCATCGAGCGCATCTTGAAGCAGGCGGCGGACGCATTTTCTGAACTGAATCCCTCTCCTCGCCTCCCCCCACCCTTTCCCCTCCACCAGGATGCAACGGAGACGGAGGAGGAAGGAACTGACTCCGCTGCTGTCTCCATCGAGCGCATTTTGAAGCAGGCGGCGGACGCGTACCAGTCGGAGGACGAGGCGGCGGTGGCGACGGTGGAGGCGCAGCTGCGCGCCATGGAGGCCGACCGCCAGGGCCTCGCTGAGCGCCTTGAGTCGCTCACAACTGAGGTGAGCGCGCTGCTAGAGTGACTTGTCGGTGGGCAGGGCCAGGATCAGGGACGCTGACTGGGCAGCGGTGGCAGCAGTGGAGGCGCAGTTGCGAGCCATGGAGGCCGACCGCCAGGGCCTCGCGAGGTGAGCCCACGGCTGAGGTGAGCTCACGATCGAGGTGAGCTCATGTCTGAGTGAGCGAGCTGCTTGAATGGATGGTTGTAAATCCTTTTTTGTTCTATGCCCAAGTAACGCCAACAACAAGAGAGCAAGACAGGGTTGGGGCTGATTTCAGAGGCGTAGTTGGTGGTGGCCAGAGCTAGGTTTGTGGGACTTTGATCGAGTAGTCTTGGAAAATTGAGTGCCGGAGCTGGCGTTGGGACAGACGGTGGTGGGACCTAGGCTGTAGGGGACCTAGGTAGTGGGATCTTCTCCTCCACCTCCACCTTTACCTCCTGCTAGCCCCCACCGTCTCAGCTTTCTGAACTTCGTCATTTCTCCTCAACTTCATCCCTTCATTTCGCTTATCCTCGTTCCACCCCCTCCCATTCCGGAGAAGCTGGCCATGGCAGCCACGGTGTGCAGCGACGTGGTGGAGGCGCTGCTGCCACAAGTTCCCCCGCCCTTTCCCCCTACCCAAATTTCCGCTCCCCAACTTTGTTTCCTTGGATCTTCCCTACCCTACCCCGCTCCCTCCCTCCAGATCTCATCGGCCAAGGACCGTTTTCTGCGGCTGAATGCGGATTTTGACAATTTCAGGAAGCGGTCGGAGCGGGAGAAGCTGGCCATGGCGGCCACGGTGCGCAGCGACGTGGTGGAGGCGCTGCTGCCCATGATCGACTCGTTTGAGCGCGCTAAGGACAGTGTTAAGGCGGAGACGGAAGCGGAGAAGAAGATCGACGGTGCTTACCAGGGGATCTACCGGCAGTTTGTGGAGGTGCTGCGAGGGCTTGGCGTGGCTGCCGTGGAGACGGTTGGCAAGGAGTTTGATCCCAATGTGAGTTGCATGGTGGTGTGAGTTTGGTTCTGATGTGAGGTTAGGTTCACCTTGATGTGATGGCAAGACGTGCAGTGGTGGAGGCGCTGCTGCCCATGATCAACTCGTTTGAGCGCGCCAAGGAGGGCGTGAAGGCGGAGACTGAAGTTGAGAAGAAGATTGACGTGCTTACCAGGGGATCTACCGGCAGTTTGTGGAGGTCCTGAGAGGGCTTGGCGTGGCTGCCGTGGAGACGGTTGGCAAGGAGTTTGACCCCAATGTGAGTCTCATGGGAGTGAGCTTGATACGAATGAATGTGAGTTTGATGAGAGTGTGAGGTTGACTACAATGTGAGTTAGGCATGATCACCCGAAACTGGAGTCATGGTAACAATGCACACCTCCCTCCTCGTCTCCCCACCACCAGGTGCACGATGCCATCATGCGGGAAGACTCCACAGAGTTCCCCGAGGGGGTGGTCACTCAGGAGTTCCGCAAGGGCTTTGTCATCGGGGAGAAGCTCATCCGCCCCTCCATGGTCAAGGTTTCCGCCGGCCCAGGGCCCGCTGGTGCTGGTGAAGCTGCTGCTGCTGATGGTGCTGCTGCTGCTGCTGCTGGTGATGGTGTGTCGGATGGATCAGAAGCAGAGGGTGGGGAGAAGTCGGAGTAGGCTGTGCTAATGGTCAACAGCAGGAGAGCAATCAGCAGGGGAGGGTTTGTGCAGACAATAGAAAGGTGTATGTCATGGACAAGGAGTGAGCATCGCGCGACACGGCATGCACTGTCAGCTTTGGTGCTGACATTTGTGATGGGCCTCCTATGTGGGAAGAATGTGTGGGTAGGAGAACTTCACTTGGGATAGGACTAGAATGCGGATGCTGTCTTATCCAGTGTATTCACTGAAAGATGATTTGATGAAACTGTGGCAGCTACTGTTTGCTATGTGTATGGGTATTTGGGGCCTGCCTTGAATGCAGTATAGGGGTCTTCGAATGCAGAAAGAAGCGTTAATACCAAAATCGCACATTTATAGCAAATGTCGAAGATATACGATAACCTGGATGAAAGCTGAAGATATTCTCTCCCCACTGCCTTCATCCACCACCGCAATGCTTGTCCAAGTCTGCTACTCACCTTGGATCTGCAGGTTAGATGCACCACCGCGGCCAGCTGTATGCCGCGTTCAACTGCTGAAAACGCGTACATTTTAACAACTCCCCGAGAACGTTTTCGTCGTCTAGGAGTTGCCCTCCCTGTCACTATTGTCAAATATCGCACTTGGCCTGCCCTTTTGCGGTCGGAAGCGTCGGATTCGGCCGTGTTCCTTTTCGGAGATCGTCTCCTCAGCAAACCCAACGGCTTCGGATTTCCCCACCCCATCTGATGAATTGAGGGCGCTTGGTCCACTTGCTGCTGTAGATCTAATCAATTTACGGTATCCACATGGATATAAGTTTACCTTGACAGGTTTTTATGAGGTAACAGTTGTTTCGTTTGAGACGGACAGGCGTAACTGTCAACATCACGTGCACCACACCAGGCCAGCAGCAAGAGAAGGCAGCCCAAATCCAGCAGTTACCGGTACTATACCGACAAAGCGAATGGATATTTCAAGCCAGCAAGAATCCGCAATGTGGTACAGAGCAGGACACGAATGCCGCATGGCGGCAATTGCGGCGCTGTTGCACCCAGGCCCCACCCGGCCACATGCGGTACTGAGTATCTGTACTGACCGAATACTTCGGATCTGCGCCTAACAGTGCTAATGGTCGCAATAGCTAGTCTGTGGTTCAGTTTATGACTCATAGCGGGCTCTCTAAACCCTAAATGGACCTGTCCTCCAGTCAAGGTCCTCGAGGGAATCTGGAAGTCGGACACTCGCAGCACTTCTGGGCGGGGGTGGGTTGGGTAAGGGGGGGAAAGAGTGGGGAACGAGGGGGGATTGACGTCACTGGCGTGACGTGAAGAGTGTCGTTTCTGAAGGATCGGCGGTGCCAGCTTAAGCTGACGCGGAGCGTTTTGAAAGCTGCTCGCTGGCACCGACGGTGTTTGCTTTGCGAGATCAAAAGCATCTGGGAAAGCGAGCAGATTTTAGGAGCGAGTCCCTCGTGCCTGAATCCGAAAGCTGATGGGAATGAGATTCGCACACTAGCTCAATCCCATTACAAAGATGTGGAGGCCGTTTTGGGTGGTAAACGGCCTCGTGTCTGTCGTGTATGACGTGCAGATTGTGATTTCTACACTACTAGGGCTATTGAGATTAGTGGGTAGAAAACAGATGGGGGTTGATACCGGCGTTTACCCGCGATTGTTCTGCTACAGTGATCGGGTGGCCATTGCGATTCATTGCGATATTTTTTTTAGGGTTCCCATTTACGACTGGGTAAGTATCGAGACGTAAACTGGGGGTAAGTTTTTTCAGGGTTGATACCCAGGGTCGTTTACAGCAACATGCGGCTCATAAACCAGTATTGCTCGCGATTAACAATCACGTTAACAGTCGAGGGCGAAATTTGAAGAACGGGGTATGTTACTAGTGCGTAACAGTTACGACTTTGTTACATATAGTGTATTCGGTCATTATTAAACCCGTACAATAAATAACTCATACAAACTTTGTAACTTTATAACATGAATTGTAACACCAGTCAGAAATGAATATGGTTACAAGTGCTACGATACACTTGTAACAGACAAATGTTGTTTACTAGTCGATATAAACCAGATGTTTGTATCTCCTCATATACATTAAATTTTACCGTAAACCGTATTTTCATTAATTAGCAATCAGTACAAAACGATGGCTACAATTAGACACTACACTGACAGAAGACAAGGGCAGAACACACGCTCCCATCCTTCAACCAAAACCCTCATTTTCCCAGAACCCAGCACCAAACCCTTTGGTTTATCGTGCTTGAAGCATGGAGGGTTGTTCAGCATCGCCTCAAGCAGAGCCGTCACGACCACGTATGTTTTGGCACGGACGTAGTTGCTGTTGGTGGACGAAACGCCGCCCACAGAAGGTTGGCCCCTCCCCCCCACTCGGAAGCTTTGGATGGGGGCTTCAACCTGCACATATAAAACACAAGCAGCCATTAGACGATTTCACAAATGAATGTATCGATAACAACTGTCAAAAGAATGAACGAGAATGAATGAACTATGAAAGAGTTGGGTACAAATACTAACACTAATTGGGTTGTACCCCTTATGGGCTACTCCACTATAGCCTACACAAATATCAAAGCACTATAACATTCTGACACACCCCCATGGGCAAAGTGGGAGAGAACTGTTAACGGGAATGAAGTGTTGGCCCCGCCCTCGCTTGGGCAACGCCGACGACTTGGTCGGATGTACGGGAGTAGCGGCCGACCATCCACAGTGGGAGAGCTGCTCGACAGGCTTCGTCGAGCTGCAGGGGACCGCTGTGGTGTTGCTGTCGACCAGGGAGCTCGACAGCTGTAACTGACTGGTCTGGGCGATGGGTGGGCCGTCGACCAGGAGGGGCAGTTTGACCGGGAGGTCGACGGAGCAGTCCGTCGACCTGAGAAGTGAGCAGCCGTCGACGAGGGGAGCTCGTCGACAACAACTGACAGTTCTGGTCGACGGAAGGGGTCCGTCGACCAGGGGGTAGCTCGACGGGAACTGTGGTCGACCAAGGGCACCCGGTGGTCAACCATGTTATAGTCACAATAGGCTTGAATGTGCCTAAAACGAAAGATAGAGAGCACAGACGGATTTCTGCATAGCGGCTTCAAACGTTGATAGCGTTCTGCTCACAGCTGCAAATGACTTGATTCAAATTGGATCTGGAGCGTCTTCACGTCGTCTACAATTACCAATTTAGATTGCACGATTTGATAAAGAATTGACGACACAGCGTCGGTTTGAACGAACGGTACTATGGCAGCCACTATAGTCTTAGAACACAAGATAGGAAGAGTTACGAGTTGGGAATGACTCCCAGCTCCTACAAACCCCAAGAGCCGAGGTACAGTGATGTGGAACAGTGCCACACTGTCCCCAACCACGAAGGGTCTCGAAACTACCCTTCACTAGGGCCTACACCAAGTGAAATGTTACACTACACAAAGTAATGTAACTATCTTCAATATCTTGAGGTGTACCCTTTTGGCAAGCTTCGAAATCACTTGAGGCTTGACACCAAGGCTCGGGCTCTTCATCACAAACTCATCCTTGAGTTCTTGATGGGTCTGCTGCACACACCTGCGACACGCCGAACGTTCGGTACAGGACAAAATAGAAACCGCGCACGACAAAATAGAAACCGCGCGCGAGACACAAACGACCGCGTAACACGCGTCTAGCGATAACTCGCTATTGACTCGACACACACACTCGACATCATGACTCAACATTCACACACAATTATAAGCATGAAATATATATTATCCCATGCCCTCATACCATTCCATACACACACACATTCACGCATACGGACAACAAGCCGAGTGCAAACCGTAGGGTTGCACCAACAAACCTGAGGCACTTGGTAGTCGACCAAAGCACCTAGGGTTGTCCAGGTCGACCAGGTAACCTGCTCGACGAGTTCTGCGAAGGCACGCGAACGTCGTCGAAGTCGCGATGGCGAAGGCGACTTCGGGTTGGTATCTGGAAGTCGACGTGGCTCGTCATGCGCAGGCAAAGGCCAACGGATGCGCAACGGTGCAAGTCGGGCCAATCATCTGCATGCACCTGCGAGCGTGCGCACTGCTGTCTTCTACGGGGCAACGCTGGACAGCCGCTCCGCTGCAGCGTTGGCACACCGTCGACTTGCTGTGTTGGCAGGTCGCCTTTCTGCAGTGCTGGCGCGGCTTCTCTACGCAGCGCTGGCACGCGGTCGACCATGCTGTGCTGTCTGTCGACCAGGCTAGCTGCAGAGTTGCTAGGTGCCTGATGTAGTCATTCTTGTCATTGCTTGTTCTATCATTTATGTAACTCCAACTTTGCTAGTGAAACCTCTTGCCGATTTCTCCCGTAATTGTGCAAGCACTAAGGAACTAGGAAAGCTACGATCACTCCTAGTAGTTCGTGCCAACCTCGTAGTCTAGCTCACCACCATTGTAGAGTGATTCTCCACATGGTGCGGTGAGCGTGGATCGAACACGCGACCTTCAGATAGGAGCTGACTTTTGCACCTACTAAGTCGTTCGTAGGCCGGCGGCAGTGATAGTCACCATGGTCGACCCCGTAGCTAATGCGGGCATAGCAAATACCTTGGAGGCACGCTTGGCTGATGCGAGGAAACGCCACGCGGATGGCGAGTACGGGACGATCCCCTTGCTGATCGTCGAGTTGGGCATCCGATCGCAGTGGGCGACGGAACACCCTTCCCGTCCTTCTACTCCTCGACCGGTGCGAAACGAAGGTGGCGTCGACGACGAGGTCGAAGGCGGTGCACGAGTCAGCGGCAACTATGGCACGAAGCAGAGAGGAGTGCTCAAGGTCGACGTTGGCGTCGACAGGAGTCAGGCGCAAGTGCAGCAGTCGACGGCAGCTGCAAGCAGCTCGCATGCCGACATCGATGGTCGACGTCGCTCACCCCTACAAAGCAGTGGAGGGCTCTCAGCGACGACGCATGTGACGTCGGGCGGGATCGCACCGACGTATGGCTACTTCAAGTTCTCGCCGGACCGGATCACC